TGGTTCTCGATTTCTCTGAAGGCTTAGGACGCGTTGTTGATCGGCTTCTTGATTTTCTCTTGGCAGAAGACTTTTCTGCCAGTCGACCAGTCCTGGGTCTGTCGCTTTCTTCATCACTGTCACTATCTTCAGACCAGGTCACGGAATCATCTTCGGTAGACGACGCTTCGTCGCTTTCGCTGCTCTCAAAGTATTCATCAGAGTCGTAAAATTGTGATAGGGCTTGTTGTTGCTCTTGGCGCCGGATGCTTTCTCGAGTCGGCGTGCCAAAGAGAGCCGCCATGAGATCAACACCGTGAGGTGGCTGCCTCTCTTTTTGGCGGTTCTGCTTCTTCTGCCGACCCATTGTATTCGAGCAAAGAGATACACGATCAAGCCAATAACAGCGAGTTTGAAGGAGGATTTGGGAGTGAAGCTGGGAGAAAATCGAGATATACCCAAGTCAGCCCAAGGTATGAATCGGTTTGAAGCGGGAAGAAAAGAAAGGTCGAGAGAAGCTGAGAGAGAGAAGCTGGTTGTAGCTTTATGGTGGAAAACTTGACGCGGTGCCGACAGTGAAAAGCAGGAGCGGGATGCTCTCTGTTAAATACCTTGGCTTAGAAGTAAGCTACCTATGGCTCCCGCCAATGCCGCTAGGTAGAGGAGGTACCGGAAGGTATTTTGCTTGTTCCTCGAGGTGTGTCACGCCTCAGGCACCAATAGTTGCCAGCACTTGCACTGGTCACTCGGCCCTCAGTTCTTCCTCACCTTCGCTAGGTCCTCAGTAAAGGCTGCAGAGTGCGTGTCGGTCCTCAGGCCTCCACCACAGCCTTCGCTTGCGTGTTGAATATGCTTGTAGGTCTTGTTGCTCGTGCTGGTTGTTGTGATTGCCTCCTGGCTCGTTCTTCGCCTATCACGCTGGACTTGGCTCGCATAAGAAATGAATTCCAGATGAGAGTTTTCAGAAGTTGACTGCAGATAAGAATAAAAGCCCTTTTTGGATAAAAATGTTCGACTCTGACTGAAAGTGCTTCGGGACTGCGTGTGTTCAAACAGGACTGCCCTGAAACATGGCAGGATGATTGATTGGTGATTTGTGAGATGAAACCTCACTTGTTGTAACAAAACAAAAAAAAGAGTCTTATAAATACTATGAAAGACGGAAAGACTAGATGTGGACGATGATTCACAGCATGGCTGCAGCTAGCCAGCTTGATTGATTGATTGTATTGATTTGCGCCCTCCGCCTATTGTCTTTCCACCAATAATGGATTCGGCTACCAGGTGACAGCCTGGGCTGGTTCAGCATCACATTGTAGTCCGGTGGCATATTCAAGGGGAGTCCGCATCGCTTTTCGCTCCTTTTCAAATTTGGGTCAAATCATACAAATTTTTGTTAATACATTCAGGCACTTCTGTCTATATATGGCGCCCTTGAGCCTGCTCTTGCTAAGGAAAATCTCCGTATAATGCTCCACGGTTGCTCGAAATTAATCCACGCGAAGGACACGGGGTCCCTTCTTCTTCGACGCCTTCTTCTTCTGTCCGCGATCGAACGAAGCGGCGGCGGCAAGGTCTCGTCCGACGTTGTCGAGATCCTTGACTTTGTAGATGCGGATGATCCAGTTCTCAGTGGTGTAGGCCTCTTCGATGGTGTTAAGAACAGGGCCTTGATCAGGTAGGCGAGCACCACGAACACGGTCAACCGTTTGTCCTGCAGGGAACAAGGAGTGGTAGTTGTAGTAAGACATCTTGTACCTGCAAATTAGTTAGCATCAAGTAAATGTTGGGTCTACTCTTCGTTGCACGCATCAACTTACATCAAGCTGTTCTTCATGGTGTCAGTAGCTTCAGCGTCGACACGGTATTCTCCACGGCTGGTAAAGAAATTGCGTTCTTTGACCTCTTCGGGCCAAATACCCTCGGCAATTCGAACCATCCAGAGGAACTTGTTGATATCATCCCCAGAGTAGCCCAGAAGACCGCCAAACACAACAAGAACGTAGTCCACCTCATGCTGGCGCATGATAGGATAGCTAACCTCCTCGCTAGAGCTCATTGCTTTTCCAACGGTGGCAATATGCGTGTTGTTCCAGGTGTTGTTGTCCACCAAGGTGGGTCGGTCAGCCATACCACCAATCTGGTAGCCGTAATCCCACCAAGACATGATCTTGGCATCCTCCTTGGTATTCTGGCGAAGCCACTGGTAGGCCTCGCGGTAGTCATCAATGATGTGCTGGCTTCCATCAGGCATGCGGCTAGCAAGCACCACTGACGGCGAAGAGTACGCATTTGATGTGACCCAGGTACAGTGGGATACAAACATGAGAAGATACACGACCATGCCGCCAACCACCAACGCCTTTGAGACAAATGTGAAAATTCCCACATTTGGCTTCGAGGAAACTCTGAGGCCTGATTTTTTAGCAGGCTTAGCGTCGGTAGCTCCAGCATCAGTAACTTCTTCTAGGTTGGGCTTCTTCGCTGACAAGTAGGTGTCGAGAATCTGGCTGGCTGCAATAGCCGCAGAAACACACACGATGGGAGTGAGAGTCAGCATCAGACGGACCATGACTCCTGCGAAGTAGCTACCAAACAGGGCATAAACTACGACGAAGACATGCTCGTCGCGGAGGTCCTGGAAGAGGAGGTATACACCAGCGGGGAACAGCCAGATGAGCATGTTGAGGTCGAAAAAGAAAGCTGGCCAGGCTGTGGGCTGATGCTCGGAGACGGAGGCAATGATGGGAATGTGAATCTTGGCGTAACCAGTATCCCACAGAGAATAGAATCGACCGCTCCATGGGGCAATGTATCCCAGGGAGGTCAGGCCAACCAGACCAGCCAGTCCGATTCCAACAGCTCCAACAAGAACAGTGATGACAAAGGTCTGGAACTGCTTAGCAGACATCGAAGATCGGACATACTGGAGGAGTCCGACCAGCTGTACAAGTCCAAAGATGCCTAGAAAGGGGACCGTTAGTGTCGCTTAATCATGAACCGCAGCGACTACAAGAACTTACCAAGCGCGGGCATGTGCTCGCTGGTTTTAACAGGCAAGAAGCCGACGAATGGAATCTGCATGCTGGCAATTGTTCCAAGAGCATACCACGTGGTGTAGCTCACGTAAAGCCTGTTGCTGAATCGTCCCATGCCAATAAGGACAAAGGCGTGGAGAGGCAGGAGACAGGTGATGAATGCATAACCACCCCAGGAGGCAACCATGTAGCCATAGAAAAGGGCACAGAGCGCGCCCCAGAGCATGGATCCAAGCTTGAGAGCCTTGATCCAGAGGTAGAATGTAAAGACAAGTAGGAAAATGGCGATGGCCTCGTTGTCGTAGCTGCCAGCGACGGATCTAGAAATGTATCCGGGGGTGATGCCCATGAAGGCAGCAGCGAGAAGACCAGCGGATGAAGACGTGGTCATTTCATTGGTCAAAAGATAGGCGGCGTAGGCTGTCAGGCCTGAGAAGGCCGGGGCGAGAAGAACACAGATGTTGCGGATGTCGACGGGGACAGTGAGAGCTCGAAGCGCGTGGTAGATGACACCACTGGTCACCATGAGACCTGGGTAAAGCGTGCCTCCGGTGACACGGCCCAATGGATGCCATGTTCGGTCATCGAACCAGTCCCAAAACTTGTAGAAGCCATTGGCGACGAGGTACTTGGTAGCTCGGAAGTTAAACCATGGGTCAACTGTAGATTTCGTCAATTAAGCACGGTGATCGCGATGGGGGAACTCGAAGGTGACATACATTCGTGGATGATACTCTCAAACCCTGAATTCGAAGCGTTAGCAATTTGCAAAGCTGTTGAAGGAAACCCAATGCTTGATTCGTGGCCAAAATGACAGTTGGCGTCATCCCACGATGGTTGACTTACGGATCACAGAGAACAAACGACTGGCGACTGCGGCTGCGGCAATCAAAAAGAGAATAGAGACTCGTAGGAGCGTCCTCGTGTTCTGGCTATTGATGCCCGAGGAGGCGCCTTGCGTTGCGACCGCCATTTTGGACCACAGAAGACGGCAATGCGAGGCCTGCTTGCTTGGCTGTGATTTAGTAGGGTGGTGGTGGTGGTGGTGGTAATTGCAACGGAGCTCATAAGGACAGCTTAATCGTAACGGGCTGCAGGTCCGGCAATTATCCGCCGCAGATAAGCACCACAATCCACGTCAACGCTACGCACGCCAAGTTACGGCAAGCACGTACGTACTACCGTTCAGGGGCCACTCATCGCGTCTGCTTAGTACGTCGTCCTATTTATTACTCTGCACAGGGTGATATAAATGTGGCACACCAAACGTCACGCTTGTGATAAGTATGTAAGTGAGAGACGCAGTGTGCTTTGGTCGGCAATAACATCAATAATGGTCTAAAAAGACTAACAAAATTCCTTTGCTCTTCATTTTAAGATTCTTATCATTTATCGAACTATACTTCTTTAGCCATCAGAACGCTCATTGCCTTCATGCGCCATAGTGTCACCCATCTAAGAGGCCACCAAACACTTATCAGACCTCATATTCATGGTCCCCCGAAGTAAACCAAGTTGACAATACTGATGTTGTAGGTCTCTTTTTATCTCTATTGAAACCTAGCTCGTCCATGATTTTTCTTAGATAAACACAAAAGACAGGTGTATTTCCACACTCTTTTGGGTAGCGAAGGCGCCCAGCCTAGCACTAGATATAGCATAGATTGCCTCTTCAACTTGACATTGGCTCCTGCACAGATCACAGTCATGATAGACGCGCGCTTTGAGTCTAATTTATGTGTAATGTAATTTACACCTGTACACAAAACAAGTGTGACAGAACCTAAGGAAAGTCAATGCAGCCAATTTGCTCGCAGTTCCAATCATACAACGAGGCTGCAAGTGAACCTTGTAGTCATCTCCCATGATGACGAAAAGCTTTTCTGGCTCTCCGTATAGAGCGGCTTTGCCCTTAATCTAGCTATCTTCCCTCGCCTGTTACAGCCATTACACCTATCCTAACATTGCCCCATCCCAGTACATCTATGCCTTCTGCTCGGATACCTTGAGGAGGAGCTTCTCGAGATCGAACTTGGGGTCGGTAGGGTCGGTGATCACTAATATCCTGCTATCAGTCGTGTTCTCTCTGGCCACTTCGAATTGAGCCCTCGAGGCGCTCAAATGGAACCCAGGCGAGGGGCTCTCCAGAACGAGAGCTGACATACCGTCACTTGATGAGGCTGGTGCGGGGTTCTTCTGTTTGGCATACTCGGCCTTGGCCTGGTCGATCTTCTTCTGCTTCTCTTGGTACTCGTGCTGATCGTGCTGGGCCCTCTGAGCGGCCGTTATCGATCGCTGGTGGGAGAAACCGTAGAACACGCCCACAGCAAGGGCGGACCACCGCAGGACCTGGAATAAATCCAATTAGCTCTTAAAATCCTCCTAATAGACCGTCGAACGTGAGAGCAAGGCTTTTGGATGCCTTTTGGGCGGCGCAAAGGGTGCAGGACGGCTAATCCGGCTATGACAGAATAACACGCACATTAACTCCGGTCGAGGCCATTGGCGCGAGGGTCGCAGGGGTTGCGACGAGTTGAACAAAAGGAAGGGACGTAGATGAGGCAACGAGGGACCTGACAATGGCTGTCAATTGACCTTGTCTAGGTGGTTCGGAGGATGCTGGCGGCGTTGAATGGCGAAGATGGGTTCAAATTTGGTCGGGAAAAGTCGCAGTTAGTTTTTCCTCTCGTCACTGGTTGGCCGAGCCGGGGCAGCCACAGCGGCCATCAGCCACACTCTCGGTCGAGCGCCAACCCAATTGACCCATCCGGCGCCTTACCTCAGCAACGGCGGAAGTTTGATTCACGTGAGCTACCGATGTCTCTACTGGCGATTCGATAAGCTCGGTCAGGTTCAAGTTTCCAAATAAATGAAAATTACTCCCAATTTTGCTATCCGGGAAGATGGATGGCATCCCGACTTATACAGCGCCGACAATGATCATCTACCCTTGAGCTGGGCAGCCTATCAGGATGGGTGACATCTTCAGCACGGGTTAAAATGTACTGGACCTACCCCTGCAGCTGAAGCTCTCCTGGGTTAGGCTGAGACCCACATAGACACCCCCAAATCAAGCAGCATTAGCTGCCATAACACGCTTCTACGGCGCCCAGGATGTTATTGGTGCATTGAATTGAAGGCCGATATACAGAGCTGGGCTCCTCAAATAACAGGAATATGCGATAGCTTCTCCCACCATCCGCTCTTTATTCCTTGTTTCCAGTAACGAAGCTCAAGAGAGCGGCTGATCCAGTCCCGGGAAATACACAATTTACTCCTCTTTGGTTTGTTCATCCACCAACTGCGAATATCAAAATCCGCCTCGAATTTGAACCACACCCCCGACTTGCGCTCGACCCGCAATGGGAATTTGAACCAGCCAACATGGAACAACGACGAGAAGAGATCCGCGCGAAGGCAGCCAGGCTCGCCGAGCTCAAACGGGCGAGAGCCCTACGAGGCTCTTCAGAAAGCCGACCCAGCATAGGAGGAGATCTCAGTGATGTCGGTCTTCGCCTGCCTCTCTCACCCCCTACTTCGTGTTGCGGCAGGATGCTAATATATCCATAGATCAGAGTGGGCGGTGCCTCGAGAGCAGACGAGCGCAGGAAGATCGATTCGTTCATCGACTCACTCCTCGGTGAGAGCCGCCCGGGCTCTACCGCTCCAGGAACGGCATCGCCAGGAGGCTTCCAGCGCAGCAGCAGACCGAACAGCATCCTCAGCGCGGGCGAATTGAGCAACGAGACATCCGAATCCGTACCCCAGCCTCCAGCGACACCTTCCGCCCCCGTACCCCCTCCCAACCTGACTACAGCGGCGCTCACCACCGTTTTCGAGTGCCCCCCGTCGCCGGTCAAGGAAGTCTTCTCCTACAGCAAGGGTGTGCAGACAACAGAGGCTTGGACGGAGCCCGCCAGACCTCGGGCGCAATCAACAACATTTGATGTCGACGATGTCCCAGGAACCCCCTTCTCGCCCAGCAAGCGGCCGAGCAGAAGAGAGCGTGACCGGGAAGAGGAGCTGCGGCAGAAGATCAGGGAGGAGCTTGAGGAGGAACTCAAAGCCGCGAAGGAATACATTGCAGATGGCGTGGTGCCGGCGGCGACCTCGACCAATTATCCTTCGAGGGATCTTACGAATGAGGAGCTCGAAGCTGTAATACACTCGGATGATTTCGTAGATTTCTTGGACCGGTCAACCAAGGTTATTGAGCGAGCGTTTAATCAGGAGACGTACGACATTCTGACCGACTATGCCTTGCAAGGACAGGAGGTGGAGGATGAGGACGAGGAAACCGGGAATACTGGTGGCCGTGGAAAGCACAGGGTCAAGGAGGTTGTTCAATTTTTCGATGATCGTTGGTCCAAGAAGCGAATGATCAGCGGAATCGACTTCTCCCCAAAGTTTGGCGAGCTGCTCCTCGCATCCTACACGAAGAATCCGACAGCGCCGCATGAGCCAGACGGCCTCGTCCAGGTCTGGAACGCCCACATGCACGAGAGGCCCGAATATGTCTTCACCGCGCAATCGGACATCCTCACCGCCAAGTTCTCCCCTTACCACCCCAATCTCATTGTTGGAGGATCATACAGTGGACAGGTGCTGCTCTGGGACACGAGAGCAAAGGCAGCGCCCGTCCAGAAAACCCCATTGACGGGCTACGGTCACGCCCATCCTATCTACTCGGTTGACATCGTGGGAACGCAAAACGCCAACAACATCATCTCCTGTTCAACAGACGGCGTCGTCTGCGGCTGGAGCATGGACGTCTTCGCCCAGCCCCAAGAGCTCCTGGAGCTGAAGAACCCCAGCCAAGCCAAGGTCGCCGTCGAGGACGTGAGCCCGACATGTCTCTCATTCCCCCAGACGGATCCTACATTCTTCCTCGTGGGCAGCGAAGAGGGTAAAATCTTCCCCTGCCACCGGTACGACCGCGCCGGTGCCAAGGCTGGAGTGGACAAGAAGATCAGCTACAAGGGTCACACAGCACCGGTCATGTCGGTCGACTTCCACCCCGCCAAAGGTCCCGTGGACTTGGGCGATCTCGTCATCTCCTCATCTCTCGACTGGAGCGTCAAGCTGTGGAAGGTGCGCGCGCCCGCCGCCACATCTACAATCGGAGCCGGCGACGGCAACATCAAACCGCTGATGGACTTTGTCCGGGAGGATGTGGTCTACGATGCGAAGTGGTCGCCAGTGAAGCCCAGCGTGTTCGCGCTCGTCGACGGAGCCGGCTGGCTAGAGCTCTGGGATATCGCCGTGGAGACGGAGGAGCCCGTGTCCAAGATCTCACCAAGCGCCCGACAGGACGGCAGAACAATGCTCTCCAAGAGCCTGAACAAGGTGGCCTGGGAGCCCAATGAAGGCAAGCGACTGGCGACCGGCGGCATATATGGCTCCCTGACGCTGTTCGAGGTTGCCAGCGGGCTGGGCGGAAAGGAAGGACTGAAGAACGAAGACTGGACCAACATGAAGAAGCTGGTAAATCGGGTAGACGCGGTTGGGGTCAACGGAGCAGTTGTAGTTTAGCGATTTGCATTTGACACATGGAACCATTATAATGCATTAACAGATTGTTAGTTAGCCAGAGGTGATTGAATAGTATTATACCCGATTATTCATACTTAAATGCCAATTAGTCGCAAGGGATAAGCTTGTTGAAATGCACCGTGGTTGCATGGTTACCAGTTGGTGATGGGATGGACCCCTGTCTTCTAGTCACGTGAGTATCATCTACTAAAGATTTCGTCGAGTCCACTCGTGGTCTGAATGTTTCGACCTTCATGCAATCGCGTATCTTCTGAAGCTCAGCTTGGTAACAGAAGGTTTCTATGGTAAGTGGTGAAACTTTTTCTTTGATTTTCACATCTACATGATGGCATTCATTCATATGAATTCTGCAATTCTGAATCGGCCTACATTCTTGTAGGCTCGACTGTCGACAACCTCTAGCTGATCAAATTCCTCCTCGATCCTTCTTTTGTCCACTCTTCGTTTGAATGGCATGTTCACTGCTAACCAGGCAAAAGAAATAGTATCTAGCGATTATTCCCAGCAACTGCGGCGGTGATGCTATTTGGCGGCCACAATTGGACTTGGTCGCTCTCTCAATTTGCCAAGGCTAGCACTGTCAGGTCTACTATCAACTTAGTAGAACCATCAGATGTATATAGATGAGAGCCCCGTATTATGAATAACAGTTTCACGTTGCAGAAGCCAATCAAGAAAATTCAGGATGCATCCAGCATATATTTGTGACTGCGTCTACTTTCTGACGTTGTTTATGTTCTCAGATACACATACGCACGTATCTTCTGACTACTGAACCGACGAAGAAAGGGCACGGGAAAATATTCCCAAATCCCATCGATTCAAACTACCCATGCCCACATCACCGGGTGATGACCACCACCTTTTCGTTTGGCAACTCCGAATGTTGTCACCACCGCTCCTCAGTACTTGACCAGAAGCTCCTCATCCTTCTGCGCCCCAATCGAATGGTTGAACATACCAGGAACCAAACTCTCCTGTGGCTGGTTTGCCACAGCAACTAGGGTGCCGCTGGTCAGTGATCCAGCCGCGGGCAACGGGGAAGCGGCCTTTCGCTTCATCCCCATCGGGTTCGAGCTCCCACCCTTCTGCTCACGAGGGCCCCCCATCCCCGGTCCCCGATATCTCTCCGTCCACCACCTCGGAACCTTGTCCAGGCCGATGGCCTTGAGATCCCCCGCCGACTGCGGCATCCTGTGCGAGAGGGTGCACTTGTTCCCCCGCTTGCACACCCCGTGGTGGCACCACTCCTGGCAGAGCCCGAGCCTGTTGCCCCGCTCGTAGATGCTCTTGCCATTGCCGTAGACGTTCTTTCCATTGACGTATATCTCTGCCTTCGCGGAGCTCTGGCGGCTCGGGGGGTAGTTGCTAAACTTCTGGCGCTTGTGGAACTTGTTGTTGTTCTCGGAGCTCCGGCTCCCAGTTGGGGAGCCTCGCGAGCCGTGCTCCTTCTGTCGCTTTCCAGAGGGCCTTGCAGTAGGAACGGTGGTGTTGGCCATCGTGGTGTCAATAACGTGGTGGTTGTTCTGGGGTGGTAGGGCCTCGGTCGTTGGAGCAGCTTGCTGCCCTCCGCCCAAGGCAAGGTCGCCAGCCAGAGGCAGGTCAAAGAGCTGGACGCGGACGTGGCCCTCCTCGGGAGGGAACCCGCCCAGGCTGGTCATCCCTGCGGTTTGCTCGATACTCAAACCGCGGGGGTATCCTTCGATCTTGACCCAGGGAGGCAGGATGTCCACCGGGATGAGTGGCACAATGGAGGACTGCTTGCCCGGCTGGGTGTCCTGGACGACTGTGCCGGGTGGTCCTGGATTGCGGACGATGAAAAAACGAGGAGTCGAATCCATGTTCTTTGGATATGAAAGAATTTGGATGATTGGCGATTCTGCGCAGAAGAAAGGGCGAAAAATGGAGGTGAGGATGAAGTGATGAGGGAGGAGTGGCCGAGAACGAGTTGCAGAAGGCTCCTCCGGTGGCACTTTATAGCAAGTCTGGCTTGTTTGCCTGCCAAATATTACGGACAAACTGCACAGAGCCGATTCCTGCAAGGTGGAATGGCTGAGCGTGTTAATACAACGAAAAAATGGGCAAGTGCAGGTGGGAAGAAGCCTGAGGACGGGAACGTGCATGCAAACATAAAAGCGTGCGATTATGTTGCGTTGTGTGAACACTCCCCGTCCGCCATTTCAGCGCAAGTCACCCGTCGCTCTGCTTCCTGCAGTCTCCTTCACCTCCAATTATAGGAACTGCAAAAATTGAAAACGCCGCTATCCGTGCTCTTACTTGTTGCCGTTTGTCTAGTTCGCTTCTATTCTAAGTGTGACGTCCAGGCCGTCAACGCAGTAGCCCAGCTGTCGCGGTCCGTCCTTCAGCTCAACCTCTCGCTTAACCCATCGCCCGGGTTTACTACCAGAACCTTCGTTGTCCTGCTCGCTGTCATCGCCCCCAGCTCTTCTAGGCACGTCCTCTAGTTCCACTTCCTCGTCGCTGCTATCTCCCTCTCTATCGTAGTAGCCCGCAACAGGATCCCATTCGCCAGTCTCCCAAACCAACCGCAGCTCCAGCGGTTCTATTCCAAATAATTTTCCAGCAATTCCTTTGACAGCGTATATGTCGCATGATTTAGGTATCTTAGTCGTCTTGGAGCCCACCCCTTCCTGACGAAAATCCACAGCAACAAGCCGCGACTCCAAGAAGGCCGGGTTAAGCTCCTGCCTTCGAATAATATCTGGTGCTCCATAAATACCGCAGAGTTCTGCATAGCGCGGATGGTTTTCTAAGACTATCGCCTCTTCGGACTCGGGAACCGCAGCCAGTTGCTTGGTAATACGAGAGAGATAGAACATCTCAGCGTTTCCACGATCCGCGTGTGATATCTGGGTGAAGTTGAGCGTCTTGAGAGCCCCAATGCAGGCTATTACAAACATGTGTGCCTCCTCGGTAGACGATGAAGACGCTTTTGAGCTGGGGTCTGGGGTTTCGTACACGGGGTTGTGGGAGATGCGTAGCCCGGTGATGCCAGGAAAGTGCGTAGGGACAGCATCCACGAATGCCCAGTCCTGGACGTCGTTGTACGATATGTCGAGATACTTTAATGCTGATGGAAATATCGGTGCCTTGGTCCCTTCCGGTGCCATTTGGAGAATACTGTTTCCCTTGAGGTGAAGATTGCGAAGCGCTGTCAGAGCTGTAAGGCTTTGGAGGGCGGCAATGGATTCAAACTCGTTGTATTCGAGGTTAAGTGTCGTCAATGTGTTCTCTAGTGAGCCGTAGTCAACTATAGGCAGATGTGACAGTTGATTCAATCCGACATTGAAGATCTCAAGGGACGGGAATTGGCTGGCCACATAGGACAAATCCTTCCAGCTCAGGAGGGTTTCCGCAAGACCCATCTCGCTGACACCCCGGAATGCTTCTCTACATTCACCAACTGATTTCTCGCTCAATAAACTTTGGTAGCGATTCGTACTGGGAACAGATCATATCGTCAGCTCTGGGTTCATCCACATATTGGGTGCCTTGAGGACCAACCTGAGACCAAGATTACGTAGCTTCGGCAAATTACGACAAATCTCGACGACAGGATCGATACTTTCAATGAGATTCCGGGTCAAGTCCAGTTGTGTGATGTTGGGGCACGTCTCCTTGATGCCAGGTTCTCCCTCAGCACAGGCGGTGGCGATGCACATGCCATCGAGAAGCACCACCTTCAGCTCTTGGAGCTGGGCCATCTTACGTCTGATCTTGTCGAAACCCATCTCCTGGGCCGCTTTGGTACCAAACATGATGATTTTCGAATCTGCAGGCCTCGTCTCGCGCTGCGTCCCCTCAGAACCGTACTTTTCCTGCAGTCCTGCGATGAAGCTCTGGGGTTCCTGAGCTGGGCGCGTTGGGCGCACAAAAGACGCAGCATGAGGGGATTTTGAAAGACCTATCCCACAGGTCAGGGATTCAAGGAATCAAATAAATGAGAGCTGCCCGTACTCACATTTGAAATACCGGACTCCCTTGTGAGAGCCATCATGCTTGCCGCGAGAGGAGTCGTCCCATTCAACGCCCAACCAGGCGCCCGTCGTGCCAGCGACCTCGCCAATGTATCGCACGGTGCACAGCGCGCCGTCATACGACACCCGCTGCCCTAAATGGTGAGTCTGCGACATGTCGAAGATTACCTCAAGCTGGGCAGTGAGGTTCAAAGAATCAACGTGGTAACTAGATCCATTATCCTTGCTGGTGGCCGCCAAATTGAATGTGGGGATATGCACGATTATAGGTAGTGAATCAGGCTTGACGACTAATAACCCGTATGACAGTACTCATCACCACAGCATTACTTCAAGATTGGGGTTGAGGAGAACAGCAGGGACGAAGCAAATATCCGAATCAAATTGCAAATACCTAGTGGGAAATAAAAAATATTTTCTGTAACCTCATCTCAAATTTGACGAACAGATGTCCTTCACCTAAGGAGAAAAAAGAAACCAGGCAACTGCCAGTAAATAATTCCATTGTACAAGGCAACTAACTAAATGCTTAAATTCTTTCCAAATTGACTCTTTCATGTAAAAAGGGAGAGCAGCAGGTAATATATGCCACCCAACTACAGCTTGCTCTGGTCACCACCAACCACCTTGATAAGCGCACGGCCATTGCTCAAGCAGACCTTGCCGCCGGCTACCTCGGTAGCGAACCGAATCTCTTCATAATCGCCCTGCTTCTCTCCAGTCCTCCAGACATGGGTCACAAGCTTGTCCCCGGGCTTGACGGGACTGGCAAACCGCGCCTGGTACTCCTTGATGTTGGCGGGGTCGCCTCCGCCGACCGCCTTGAGGAGCGCATGGCACGTCGTGTTCCACGAGTACAGCCCGTGGATGATGGCGCCGCCGAATCCCATCTTCTTCCCGGGCTCGGGCGTCGCGTGGAGCGGGTTATAGTCGCCGTTCAGGCGGTACAGCAACGCCGACTCCTCGGTGGTCTGGTGCTCCAGGACGTGGTCGGGCTTCTTCCCCTTGGGCGGGGGGAAGTTCTCCGTCGCGGGGCCCTTGGGTCCTCCCCAGTTGCCCTGGCCGATGTAGAAGGCGCTCCCGATCACGCGAGCGTACACCTCGCTGTTGCTGACGTCCACGAGGTCGGTCTGCGTCTCGACGACGGAGCCGGGCTTGCCCTTGTCGTAGACACCGAGCACCTTGGTGCGGATCTCGAACTTCTTGCCCGCCGAGGAGGTGGGGAGAGGCTTAAAGAACTCGATCTTGCGCTGGCCATCGACCACGCGGCGGGCGTCGAATTCTGGGACGCCCGGGATTGGGTTCTTCTTCTGTGAGCCGTAGAAATCTACAACCTCCTGTGAATTGCCCTTGAAAGCTATCCGGTGCATGGATTTGTCAGCCAATGGGTTCTCAACTCTTCATTCTGTTAAGGGTTCAGTGAGCTCTTACGCAGGATGATTGGGTAGGTTGGGAAGACGGCGAAATTGGGATGGAGCTCCTGCATTCCGCCTATTAGCACACTATATCTCCAGCTTGGTCTTGGTCACACGGGCCAAAACTTACGTAGAGGAAATGAAGCTCGTCAGATTTCGCACCGATTGTGTTGGCGAAAAGCAAGACATCACGCTGCAGCCACGAGACCTCGACGGCAGGGTACTCGAAGCCGACACCAGGTCCAGACATGATGGAAGAAATGGAGGATACACGGGGCTGGCTACTTGGAAATAATACAGATGCGATTGGTAACCTGGTGATGGAGTGTATGCAGAATGAAAGGAGGAGAAGTAAGAGCACACGCCCGTTCCCCAGGTTTACATACCCATGGCTTGCCGAAGCTCCAGCAACGATCCTACAGTAACAAACGTGACGTGCCGAGGTTCAGCGTGTCTAAAGTGTGGGGGAATTGCCACAGCTGCCTGTCCACTATTAGCGCTTGCCGCAGGTGCATCTCCGCCCCTAATTTTAGGACCGACGCATCGGCCTACCCTAAACCCCACATGAAATCTGCCCACGGCCAAGAGATCTCCTTCTGTAGCAACAACCTGATCACCAAACGGTATTCACAAGGGTGTGTAGCAGGTTTTCAGAGTATCGGACTATAAATATGGATTCATCAAAATCTCCGCCTTCTTCTGCCTGCGCATCTCCCTCAACCTTTGCTGCACGATGTGAGAAACATTGCGCAGATATGTTCTCGATGGCTATTTTCTTGCAACAACTAAGCACTCAGACCAACTACCTAAGCACATCTGAGAGCCACAGCAAGTCGAAGGACACTCAGCGTGACTTACAGACGACCGATTCCAGCCGGGGGTCTCGGTAGCACAGGCACGAGACCAGTAATATATGGCGTGACCCTCTGAGAGGACATGGTTTATCTAGCGCAGCCCTTCCTCTTCTCTCCTCTTCGCGAGTTTTATTTACTTCGTATCGGTATGTTTTACATCCTCAAGCCCAAGTTCACATGGATCAATAGTTCGAAGCTAACATAAAACTACTAGAAAATGGTATTCATAAAAAGACTGGCTAGCTGTTGGCTATATCATATACAGCCTAATCTTGTATGGTATAAATGAGTGTAGTTGTTCATGATCAATTTGTTTCATACACCTCCATGAATGGACTGACAAAAGAAATTTCCTTTAATTTCATGGTCTCTTAACGGACCCGGGCCTTTGCACGATCACACTCCTCAATGAATCGATAGATGCCTTCGAGACCCTCAAATTCCGTTGAGCAGTGATCTGCGGAGCTCATCGGCGGAGACAAGCTCTCGTAACCTTCCGGTTCAGAGAGCCATGGATTCTCCGCAATCTCTTCGATGACAAAGGCCTCTTCGATGAATGAGTCATCGTCAAAGA